TAATAGATTCCCCTGAGAAGACATAATCAATTCACTTAACTAAAGATTTCACTTAAAGCAAATCTGAAATTGAAAATCATATACTTCTTTGTATAAACATGTAAAGCAGCTACCAGTACCCTCTGCTAGTTCGATTTTGAAGTTGGATGTTTTAAGGACTACTTAGCAAGCGAGCGGAACCTAACGCCACTAGGAGTTAAAACAAAATTTTATGAAATTTATATCGAAAAAATTTTGCTACTGTAGATATTTTTCTGTGTTCTCGCATTACTCTCATTATAGTATTTAATAAATGTTCCATGAATCCACGATTTATAGAAATTTTTTATGCTGAAACAGACTGACAATTAAGAGTCCCTCTCTTGAACATTTGCTGGGCAGTGTACAGCCTTTTCCGTCTCCACACGACCAATGAATATTTTCATAAACTTTTATATAAGAATAATTTTTAATAATTTTGTAAATTTATTCTCTTCTTTTTGTTCCATTTTCTGCCTTAATGCTTTATTCTAGAATAACTAGTTTGAGAAATAACGTACAATAAATTTTTAAAGTCTACACTTGCCTTAAGCAACAAAAGTTTATAATTTAGTAAGTTTCCAGTTTGGCCCCAAACGGTGGTTTTTATTGCTGTGCTTATGATTTATGCATATCGCAATAATATCATTCGTAAATGAACAAAACAGCAAAACAGAAGTGAGAACACACAATAACCACCAAATAAAGAAATACCCGACAAAACGAACAAAAAAAGGAATATAAAATGCTAGAAGAGAGGCAAAGTAAATCAGCGAGCGTTTGGAGCGTGGCATGCCACTGTGTGGAACAACTTTTGGCACTTTATCAAATTTATCGATTAGTGGGCAATTGTAACCGCAATATATCTTTTTGGGTAACTTTATGATAAATATTTGTGTGGCAACTGGAGAAGAGATTTTTTTTTGTAAACCAATTTTTTAGAACCTGTATAGAAAATGTATACTATTAATAGAGATGATGTTAATAGTAATGAATTTTGTTATTCTAAGCAACAAATTAAGGTGTGTGAAATTATAATAAGTATTTGAGAACTTAGGAAATGTCTAGGACGATTTCAGCCATGTTTACTTCCAAATTACACTATGCTTCGGAGTATTTGCTATTTAATTTTGTTAGTCGAGTCAACCGAAATTTCGAAAGTCATTATATCAGGAATGTATATAGGCATTAGTGGAGTTAGCTATTACTAGAACCAAGTCACAGTGACACGAAAAAACCACATTAATTTTATTAATAAATCTCACATATTGACTAATACTTATAAATAATAATATATATTATGCTCTGGGAAAGTTTGCCACGAAGCTTGTAACATCCTAAAGGTAACGCCGGAAACCCTATAAAAATATATATATAAATGATCAAGTTGACGAGCTGAGTCATTTTAGCCATGTTCGTCTGTCTGTATATTCACGAAATATTCCCTCAATTTTTGAGATATCGAGCTGAAATTTTGTACAGGTCTCTTTTTCCTCAGGAAGCTGCTAATTTTCAGAACTGCCTTTATCGGACCACTATAGCGTATAGCTGTCATACAATCTTAACAATCGGTATCAAGTGTTTGTATGGAAAACTTTTTTATTTCACGAGATATCTTCAAGTAATTTGGCATGGGTTATTGTCCAAAACTCACCGATTAAAATTCTTGTGAGGAAGGGTGTTATAGCTTCGGTGCCACCGAAGTTAACGATTTTTTCTTGTTTTAGTTTGAAGTTGGTCGGAAGCCTTCGTTCTCGTTATCCGGAAGCTTTAAAAGATACAGCCGATGCGAAACATTTTTAGATTAGAGTTAAAACGTAACCGATGCACTACCTAGATCAACTTTTTTTGCGTCAGGTGGAACATCTTTCTTGATACTAAAGTTATTTTTCTTACAGAAGGTGACAGACTTCGCTCATTATCAAAGTGTATCATAAAGATGAAATGAAATTCCTTATTTTCCAATTAAAAGTCCAGGAGTTTGAGAGGTAGCAAATCCCTCCCAAAAGTGGGCGGTGGTACACCCATTATTTTATTTTTCAACCAAAAGGACAGACGAGTGGACGTAGATATTGATATTGAAAAATCAATTCGTCTACTTATTAGGAGCCAGTCTAATATATGCGAGGGTAACCCTATAGCTGTATGATTTAGTTTTAGGTGTACAAATAATTTACCGCAAATATGAATTCCAACGCCAAAATGATTATAAAATGCGTTTTCCGTTTTCTTTTTCGTACACATTACACACAATTCAATTATTTTTTTATATTTTTATTATGAAGTCAATTCGAAAAATTCTACCTTGGCATCAAAGCGCAAATTAAACGCCTTCGCGAGGCGCTAAAATTTAAGTCTAGCAAAAAAAAAAATAGCTTTTAACCGAATTTCCGAAGAAAAAAATCGAGAATAAATTTGTAAGTTTCAACGCGAAATTTGGCTCATGGGCACTGTGGTAGCGCCTTGAGCGGGTTAAATCAATTTGAAAACTTTTCTTTTTTTGAACATTGTAATAGTAAAGCAAATACAAATTGCACACAAAGTAGCAACAGCAACAATGGCTGGTGTTGCAACAACAGTGCCGGCGCTGCGCTTGCTGCCACCACCATTGTGTAGGTGACGCGGAGTCGCGCGAACGTGCTTTGAGGCGCGGAAACATATCACAATGGAAACTTTTTGCACAACAACAAGAACAAGAACTGTAAAAATGTTAAGTCGTAAAACTATAAAAATTACAACATTTTTACTTTTAATTGCAAATGCTATTTCGTCATTGCATATGCATTTATTGTCTTAGCGTTTACTGTAATGCGCTTTTATGTTCAAATATATGTGTGTGTTTGTTTGTGTGCCGCCGATTAGTTTGGCTGCGCAGCGCCGCTTGAGCGAAACTCGATATTGTACTTGAGCCGCATGCGTTGGCGGGCTCAATGACTACCAAGCCTGAGCCGCCAAGTCAGCAGTAACAACAATAGCTAAGCTGAGTGCAACAACAGCAAAAACAGCTAATGTTTAATGCAAATCACCACATTTTTATATGCGGCCGCCTAACGAATTGACAAGAAATTTAACTTCATTTACTAATCAGCGGTTGTTGGCTGTTGTTGTTGTTGTAGCATTTATTACTGTCCCATAACGTCGTACCCTTGCTAATTTATTCGCTTCAAAGGCGCGTTAATTTATTATTTCATTTAAATTATTTAACATGTGTTTGTTGCTATTGTATTTTGTTTGTTGCTGGCTATTGATCAGTTGGCAGTAAAATGATTATGCGACAGGCGTGGGAAGTGGCTGCCGCACTGTGACCGCCAACGCCTAACCGCATGCAAATGTATTATATATGTGGTTGGGCGCATGCGCGCGCGACAAATTTGCATATGTGATGCCGTGAATATGATAGAAAACAAAAAATAAAAGTAGAAAAACGAATAAAAAAATATTCAAAAAAAGTAAAAATAATTTAAAAAATTTAATTGAAATGAATAATGTAAATTAAATATAGGAATAGCTATTAACAATAAAATACGTGTCGCCATTTTTTCAGCTTGCAGACTAGCTGCTTACTCAGTTTTATTATTTTTTGGCGTCTATTTTAGGCAAGTCTTCAGAAGGAGCACTAATTAGCTGTGAAGCATTTTCCTATACGACACGAAACGTGTTGCTGTTTACTTATTCGTAACTAGTCTTTTAGTAGTTCGTAACTGGTTCATAACTAGTTGACAACTAGTTCCAATCTCGTTCAAAGCTAGATTGCAACTAATCTATAACACGGCCTTAACTAGTCCGTAACCAGTTTGTAACTAGACCACAACTTGTTCGTTACGTGTCTTTAACCAGCCCCCAACTAGTTTATCAACTAGACCCCTAACTCATCCGTAACAAGCTCCAACTAGGCTGTAACTATTCTTCAACTAGTACCCAACGTGTTACCATCTAGTCGGAAACTATGCTCAAGTGGTTTGTAAGTAGTCTGTAACTAATATCTAACTAAGCTGTAACTAGTGTCCAAGTAATTTGTTATTTTGCGCGCATTATTTTGAAACTTTAACCTAACTGGTTTGTTACCAGACCTTAACTAGTTTGTAAGTAAGTGGTTCCTAACTTTAATCTAAGTTAAGCTTTAATCACCATTGCAGAGAAAGACTGGCCTGGCTAAAATTTTAGAAAAGCTAGAGCCTAGAGATGACAATCGAATTGTATATCTGAAAGAGAAATTCCTCAAACCCAACGAGGCAAAAAATAAAGAATTAATATTTGTAGGTCCACAAGTAAGGCAACTGATAAAGGATGAGACCTTTGAAAAAAAAACTGAATGATGAAGAAGAACTCGCCTTTAAATGTTTTGTCAACATTCTTCAAAACTTTCTAGGAAACCGTAAATCGGAAAATTACGAAGACTCAATAAATTAACTTCTAATGTCATATAAATCTTTGGGGTTGTTCTTAAAAATATATATACTGGACTCTCATTTGGATTTCTTGCCGGCATATGTGGATGCTGTAAGTGACGAACAAAGCAAGAGTTTTCATCAGGACATTATCTTAATGGAGAAGCGCTATCGAATAAAAACAAAGCGCAGAAATTCTAGCAGACTATTGGAGACATAAAAGAGACTTTCAAGAAGCCAAATATTAAGGAAAATCATAAGTCTTTCTATATTCGGCAATAATTTCTCTAAACATACATAGCTGATATATTTACTTTTTAAGAAAATATTGTATATGTTTTGATGTCACAAGAAAACCTGATGTGTCAATTCTTTTTTCATTCACATATTATTGTTTAACGGCGCTAGTATGATATGATTTGAGTTTTGATGTGACAAAAATTTATATTAATGATATACTGATCAATACAAACCATATTATGTAATTAAAACGTAATCTGTTTTATGAGATCAACATTTGTCACAGTTATTGCTTATAAAATATACTTTTTCACATTTATGCAGCAAATTTTAACTTTTTTTTTTTTTTTGCAGATAAAAACAAAAATGTACAAATTGTGGTAAGTGTCTAAAAACTAATTTATCTTGAAATATATAAAAATAAATCACACATACATATTGAAATGCAACTCTGTGCCCATTTCTATATAAAGGTATGCTTGAGAGCTCACACTTATGTGCATTAAAGCAAAGGACATGAAGGATATCCACCGAAGCTTATACTAGCTCGTGTTGCTTTTATAGCAAACACTAGTAGTAAATACAAAGGAGAGGTTGTAAGACTCAATGGCAGGTGACAAAAGTTACAACTTAGTGTGATAAGTAAGTGAGAGCAAATATTATTCCTTAGAGTAGAACACACTTGAGTGCATGTGCCATAATTGAAGCGCTACACTGTAGTAGACGGATTTATTTAAGGACTTAAGTATGTATGGGTTACTCAGCGTTAGTGTTAGTTTCTATACTATAAACAATAAATACGCTCTTTTGACTATGCTGTGCGCTAAAATTAAATTCTAGCATAATTTTATTTTGCATAAAAACACTCAAAAGTTAACAAATTTGCTGAGTGACCCCTTTTTTTCATGCAACTGGTTTAATTTTCATGCCTTTCGGACCATTTTTCCAGTTTAATTAGTAAACGTTACATAACTAACTTTATCTTTACCGCTTGCAAATAAAAGTTTTATGCATTGTTAGAAGTACCCGTATGTCGCCTGGCATATCATTTTCTATGCACACACTATATGCATACACATACATACTTACATATATATATGTATATCACATATGTTTGTGTATTTGCAAATGCTCTTAGCCATGTGGCCGCTGGACATTGAATGGCACTTACGCTAAGAGCGCCAGCATCAACATTAACACTGTCAAACCATAAAAACGCTTAAACACATACAAAAGCAAATTACAAAATCACACATATTCATATTCACAAACATATCTAATGTACGTTTGTACATTGGAATGTCTACAAATGTATGTACGAGTTGTTGCTTTGCTATTCACATTAGTAGCAGCAATATTATTAATGTCTTCATTTTCACTTTTGCTTAAACCAACATGCCAGACACACGATGCGTAGTGTGGGTGTAGTGGTAAGCGCATCATCATGTGACACTCGTCAATAGCTCTAACTGATAGGCGAGTTACAGAGCCTAACATATATACATATAGTATGTATGGATACGTAAGCGGTATGTAATATATAAATATATATATAAATATATTAGGGTGAGCCGAAATTTTGTTAACTTTTCAATACTTTTATATATACGAATTTTTGAATTGAATTGATTTTTTTTTTTTGAGAAATTTTATGCTCTACAAGAATCCAAGCTGCAAAAATTTGATTTTGAACGGTACAAAAATTATGGTATTTGTAATGGAAAAAGATTTTTTACCTGTTAAATAAATGTTACACTTTAAACGCTCCCCGAGACCTTTTCAAATTATACTTAAAATCCTGCCAGTGATATTTTTTCTTTGTATACCAGTATAGGTTAATACTCATAAACTCGTTCGGTAAATTATTTTTACTCACCCTAATATGTACTCGTATATATATATAATAGATATGTAGCGTTGGGTATACATATGTGTTACAAAATTATATGCTTATATGCTCATATAATGCCCAGCACTCACACACAAAGAAATTTTACATGCGCTTATGTGTAAGGCCATTCAGTTGCCATTAATTTGGTAATTTCCTCTGCTCCATTTACCCCTTTGATGTCACGAAATTCCGACCGCAACTTGTTTGCTTAACCATCTGCTCGTCATTGCCATTTGCAAATTGGGATTTTGGTTACACACAGCCAATGTTCTCATATTTTTGTTGAATTTTTTTGAAATAAACCAGATTTGGTTTCAGTGCTTTCAAGCAGCAATTTTTTTTTATTTAACATTATCAATTGTTCTATTGTATTGAAAACGTAGAGTTTACCTTAGTTATTTGTTATAATGTATAATTTTTTATAACCACATCTTCTTTTTTTGGCAATTGGACTAAAAATTCAAATATTTGAAAATTCCCTTTTCGAATTGTGCTTAATTTTTTCTACGTTACATATTTCACATTTAGTTGTTAGATATCCTCCTAACCGATACTTTGCATCAATCGCTGTCTTCGATTGGTCGTTGTCAAAAAATTTACATGTGAAAGCAACAACAAAGTTATCAAGTTGAATTGAAGCAGAAGAGTATGCGGATACATTTATTATTATTACGGTGGTATAACTTCTATCTGCCATCTTCCACTTTTACCATTTTTAATGGTTGAAATGACAAATCAAATTACAAAGCTATTTTTTTTCTTGTATTTTTAAAACATAAGACTTAAAAAAAATGATTATAAATTATAGTAAACCAATATAAATGGTTACACCAACATTTTTTAACGCGAAAAAAATTATTTCTCCACTAAGAAAGAATCATAACACTTTTGATGAATAAGACATGTTAGCGCAGGGTTGCACCACAGCTGCTGCTCTTTGTTTGTGCATCTGTTATAGTTTATTCGATTAGCTAGAGAGTGACGCTTGGTGATTTTTTACCGTTTGATTAAATTAGCTGTATTTTTCCCTCAGTGAATGATCCGTTCCGTTCCGTTCTGAATTCATAATTCGGTTTGGTTCCGACTCATTCAGCTCTCCTTTAATACACGTCGCTCTATGGATATTGTATGTTCCATTCCATTTCGTTTCAGTTTTTCTACTTCATTCTGTCGCTTCCAAAAAAGTGTTTTGAATAATTTTCACTATAATATATTCGCCGTTTTGTTCGACAATGTTTTACTTGGTTTTCAGTATATTTCCCATAGTTAATGTTCCATTCCATTTTATTCCGCATTCATAATATGGTTTTGTTCTGACTCAAACAAACAGTAAATATACCATTTCGTTTCATTTATCAATTCCAATTCATTCCTTTTTTCCGAATATTTTCTAATCCACTGCGCTCCTCTTGATCTAATACTCCTCATTTCATTTATTCCCACTTCGAAATCATATCTCATACTGTTTCGCTATTATGCTCCATACCACTTCAGTCCGAACCAGTCCAATGGACTTGATTTTATCTCACATTTTTCCATATCTTGAACTTAGCTTAACTGTGATTAAGCCTTGAAAAATTAACCACAAAACATTTAAAGTGACTAAATTAAGCTTTCAAGTTGGATAAATCAATAAAGTAACAGTATTGAAGTGTCAAATACTTTTACGCACAAGTGTTTCTCAACTATGCATTGAGCTATGCAAATTCGTGCGAGCAAAGTAATGGACGTGTATCGGTGGATGGCGCGTTCGAGCGATTAAATTAATTACAAAAACAACATATTCACAGCCAATGCCTCGCTGAATTATTAAAAGAAAATAAAAGAGCCACACTTACACACACCCACTCACACACAACGCCAAAGTGTAATGAACAGAAGATTAAAGCAACAAAAAACGCTCGCTTTGAGTGGCGCTGATAGCCAATGAAGTTCACGAAAATTGGGGGTATGGTAAACGAAAATAATGGAGACTGAGTGAGAGAACTTGTTAATGGAGATAGTGGCAAAGAACAGCAGGTGAGTGGGGGTGGAGTATAGGGAGAGGAAGTAGAGTGCGCGCGGGGTAATTGCAGAAACATGGCCATTCAAAAGCACGCTATATAATAGCCATTTGAACTTTTGTGCTTTTGCTGTTCCTGTCGGGCACAAAAGTTCGATGAACAACGAATTGAATGCCACACGATGGATAGATAGATAGATAGTTAGATAGATAGAAAGGTAGATGGATAGGTGGATGGAAAGATGGATGAATGATTGTGCTGATGAGTGTAACAAATTGCTACTGAGCTCGTACAAAGGTGAATTGTTGACGGACTCGGGACTCGATAAAGTGAGCATTATATGTGCACTCGCTCGGGCGAGAGAAGCCCAAAAAAAATTAAGGACACGGTTCTAGACGTTTTCATAATTGAAAGTGTTGTTGTTGTTGTTGTTGTAGTTGTAGCCATCACCATTGTGTGTTGCACACCAAAGTTGGTAGGTGTTGTTGCGCTTCACTGATTAAAGCGCGCAGCCATAGAAAGACGCTGTGCACTACACACACCACTTCGGTCATAACTTCTCCTTCATATCAGTTCATGGAGCTTAATTGAAGCAAAGTCACTCCGCTTTGGTGGAGTTAAATACAAGCTGCGGAAATATGTTCACCGTTATGCTGTGTGTTTTTGTTTTTTGGACTTTTTGCTCGTGAAGCTGAGTGCTGGCTGCTTTGATTGAGTTTCTAATTAAAACGAAAATATTTGTTTAGCTAACTTTATTTATTTTTTCGAAGATGGCATCCTCGGGCTGTTTGTGTGTGCAAATTGTGAAAGTTGTTGTAGTTGCTAAAGGATTGTATGAAGTGGTGGGCAAGATATGTGTGTGCAAGTTAAGTATTGAGGCAGAAATATTAAACTTGAATTTTGAAAACTAAATTCTTATAATTTTCTTATAAATTTGCACTTTTGCGCTGTCGAATACTCAATCTATTGGTTGTTGTACTACAAATAAAGATTTTGACTATTTTAAGACACCAGAAAAGAGCTGAAAATTTTCCTAAGAAGCATCTTCATGTACATTTTTATACTCGTGCAAGGATCAGGTTTAGATGACAAGTTGAATTCCGGGTGACGGGCTCTCTGTCCTTCCGTCTGTTCGTCTGCAGTAAAAATTGAGAGATCATGATGAAACTTGGTACATGTGCTCTTTAATGACGTTAGACGACTGGTAATGCATATGGATGAGATTGGAACAGTGCCACCCACATAAAATACCGTTAAGCAAAAAATTATTAAAGGCTCTAAATTGAGATACGAAACTTTAATGTTGTAAATGGTATCAAAGTAAAAACGAGTTACGACTCATGTTACGACCATTGTTAGGTTGAAATCGGATTACAACCACGCCTACTTCTCTTATATCACCATTTAAAATTTTACAGAATAAAATTATATACGAATAGTGGTGTGAACCTCAGTCATATAACTTTATATCGAAAATATCGGTCCGATAAAATCTTTAGCTAATAATAGCGTGCGCTTTTGCCAAAAATAGGAAAATCAGGTCAATATCCCATATACCATACTTAATATAAAGATTTTGTATATCTGGTTAACTTTATACCATATATATCGGTCAATATGTAAGATATCTTAGCACAATTTAGTGAACGTATGATAATTGATATATTATATTATAGTTTAACGCCGAAAATTTGTGAAATCGATTTACAAAATAAAATAGCTATCTACTACATAAAATGATTTTTGTTATTCTAGTAGACTTTATGCCGAATATTTGAGTTATATTCACGAAAGTGCGTGAAAACATGTTATCGAGTATACTGGTGTAATCAGACCATCGCCTGAAGACAATATACCCAACATAGTGAAAATTCCGTTAGAATAATATGTTCGGTTATAAACGAATTTAGCCATTCCCTACTTTTTTCAGTTTGAATCGCGCAAAAAATTGAGAAATTTTTATTATATTTTCAAACACTGTTCCTATAATCTACCTTCGCACTAACGTATTCTAATAATTTAGATTAAATTTTAAGATTTAACTTTTTGTTTTAGTTTGATTTTATTTGGTTAGTATATATAATATATATAATAATCTAACCACGTATTCATATATAATAATAACGATAATTCTTGACCTCTCTTATGACTTTGCCCGATTGAAATCTCTGTTCGTCCCAAAAATTGAATATCCACTTTCGACTGAAAATTATATAATTTTCTAATGCACTGTAATCAACACTCCTTGTCTTTATTGGGATATGGAGAGAGAGCGCTACCATTAGAAAATACTGTAATCGATGACTAGAAACCACTATAAAAAACTTTTTATACATACAGGGTTTTCCATGGCAATTTTTGGTTAAAGTCTCTTTAAAAAAAAATATTTCATCGCAGTTTGATATTTCCTAGACAAAGTTTCGAAGCAAGAACCTAGAGGGCGTCTACAGCCTTTAGTCTATTCGCATAAAGGAGCATGATACCCGCATACCAAACAAAATTCGTTACATTCAACTACAACAACACTTAAAACATAACCATCTTGAAATAATTTTCGCAATTTCTACTGAAACTCGCAGACAACTTCATTATGCTATTTTCCATTAGAAATAGTATAGGAAATATTGCACAATTACGAGCGATATAAATTCTCATTTAAGTAAGGCAATATTTCCAAAATTTAAACAACCTCTACTAGCTATAAAAATTTTAATTCAAATACCAACAATTAGCGAGAAATAACCATTTCCATTCGTTGCCCTATTTGGCGCTGAACATTGCTGTTGTTATTGTGTAGTATACAATCCAATCAGTATGGCGCTATTATGGATCTCGCCACACTCGCGAGCCACTGCACTCATAAACTCATTTCAAATAATGTTGTAGCCGCGCTCGAATTAACCGTATTTGGCAAATACAACGCTGGGGCCACACTGAAAATGGCGTGCATTTTCGGCCAACGGCAAATTAGTCGCACTATTTAATTTGTCAATCGAGGACTTGCAATTAATGGAGGGGTTTTCGTGACGCGTAACTGAACGAACGTGGGCTTGAGTGACGGTATGTCGCTGTGTTGGTGATGAAAATTAAAATTGCACAAATATTTGTGCGTTGTTAAAATCGATATGAGATTTTTAAAGCAGTGCGCACATGGCTTACTATATTTGTATGTTGTTTGTTAGCGCGTGAGCTGCATTACATGACAAATTGAATGTCACTTGTGTGGGAAAATTGAATATGAGTTAAAACTCATAAAAAAATTCGATTAATGTTTGCATTTCTGCAAAAATATTTTAAGTTGAGTTGTTAGTCTTTTTTTTTTTTTGTAATTTTGAAGTATATATATAAAAGATATATGTGGAAAGCTGATTTTTATGAGGCTTAGTTATAAAATGTGGCAACCCCGCTTTAGTTATGCCAAACGTGAATTTTGAAAAAAATGTTCTAACAACAACAATACTTTTGAAGTATTAACATATATACATATATGCAAAAATTTAGCCTTATATGCTATTGTTATGTATTTATCCTGCCAAAATTAGTTTTACAACCCTGAATTTTATTACGCTAATATAAGAGTTTTCTCGTAATTTATTAAATGTTTAATAATTTGGAAAAGTAGCAATCTTCTCATTTTTCATTTCTGCTCAATATTTCTAAAATTAACGAATTGTGTGGGTTTTTTGATATATACATTAGGGTGAGTCAAAAAAAAAACAAATGGTTTTTCTTTCGTTTCGTATTCTAAAAAATTGGTTGATAGTCACCACTAAGAAAGGCGCTCCAAATATGAGCTCTTAATTGTAACGGGAAGGTCCTCTGATTAACGGTTTTCTATTATTTTGTTATTGTCAGATGGAAAAATTCAAATATCGCTTACAACTATTTGAAAAAATAGCTTGTTGCATAGATTTTGTAGGAAACAAATAGTGCACTCAAGTTATTTCAACTCCGTTGTCGAAATCGGACCATAACTTTTCAAGAAACCAGACCCCAAATGTGTGTACCCCAGTGCATATGGCTGATTTTTTACCAAATATATCGGTCAATCTGTGAGGTCTTCCAAAAAAAATATTTTTTATGACAGTATGTCCTTGTGCCAAAAATGGGTAAAATCTGATCAATGTACCTCATATTAATATTTTTGAACCTCCGGTTGACTTTAATTCACATCTATCGGTCAATTTGTAAGAAATCTTAATAAAATTTAGGGGAATCGCATTCTTATAACGGTGTATCCTCTTGCTGGATATAGACGAAATCGGTGCAGTACTTCCGCTAGTTCAAAAAAGAGTTTTCCCAGCATCTGAGAGTATTTTCCCGATAAGTGCAAGTTGCGAGAGTATGAAATGTTCGATTCATCCGAACTTGGCTCTTTCTTGCTTGTTACTTATAATATTTTTTTACATTTTTTTAATACTTAGAGATTTCAGATTTCAGATTTCGAATTCAATTCTAGCTTGCGCTCAGATGTTGTCACACATTTGTATTTATAAAAACATGTATAAATATGGCAGTTGCATGCGAATATGTGCACTAAAACTATTAGTTCGCATGCACTAAATTCCTCAACGCTGTGGCAACACTTCGCGCTACACACACATATATACAGTTACACACGTGTATTAATTTTTTTTCGGTTACATAAATGCTCGAGCACCGCAAGTGGCAGATTTACACGAGAAAAATCACACGAATGTGTTATACGAATATGCTAAAACAATCAACTTATATTCACAGGTAGCGAATTTGCAGCAACTCGCACACACACACAAACTAATAAGCATTTACACCGCGTTTGTGTGTGAGTTTGCACATTTCTTTGGCGCTTTGCAAATTCTATTTTGTATGTATGTACGCTTATAGTCACATATTTTCGCGCAATGTGCCAGCGCTACTATTGTACATAGGCAGACGATGTTGCATGCAACATATTGCCGCAACACCGCATGCCAGCGCTGTGAATGATTTGCGGCATCGCATGTCACGTTGATTGTGTTACATGCTTAGCATGCGAGCGAGTATGAATTTGGCATAGTTTTTTCATCTCGTTTGTACACAGACATACACATGCACTGACGAGTGCATGAAAAATTTTATGTTAGCATAGCGCCTCGAAGCTGAAGTGTGAAGAATTAGCAACTTAGTGCAGCACTCATGGCTAAGCATTAATTACAATTGCACAACAATTGACTATGCAATCACTGATGGCAAAATAAGCACACACACACACACATGCATACAAACATATATGCGGCTGAACCGTCATCTTTGTGTATCTGTGGCGCATTAATGCAGAGTATCTAAATGTGCTAATGGCTCGATTGTGGCGCTTAAAAATTATATAAAATTGCATATCATGGCGCTGCGCTTAAATTTTCGCTTTTGTGCACTTACTAAATTGCTTGGCATTTTATTAGCGTTTCGTGTATGAGCAAATACTTTTGTTCTAAGTTAGTCATTTCCTCTACTTGATATAATTCAAAAAAATCTTTTTTTTTTGCCATTGGCTTAAATTAGCTTTAATTAAGAAAGTTTGAAAGAAAAAATAATATGTGAAAGCTTTTTCTAATAATGAAGGCTTATGTCCCCAAAGCTTTTACATCTCACACTTTCAAACATTTTTTGTTATTTTAGCAAAAACATATTAACGAAAAATGTATATATGTATATCAGTTATGACTTGAGACACAGTTTCGCTTCAGACTTAAGTGCGATCTCTTCTCCCACTAAAATATATAAATGCTTTTCTAATGGACCTAAGTCAATGACAAAACTTCGAGAATATTTATGTCATGAAACATATTGCAGATATAAAAGCTATCCCAAGAGAAGCTCACGCTCGAACTGATTTTGACCAGTCCATTGTAAAAGCAGAACAAGAAAAACCGTTAACTTCAGTAGCAGCGAATTTTTAATAAAAATTGAATTTTGATTGGTCCATTTGTGTGTCAGCTACAAGATATGCTATAGTGATGTCATACGAAAATTTTCTTCCGGATTTGCTCTGTTGTCTTAGGTAATAGCCCACGCCAAATTTGGTGAAGATATCTCATTTATCGAAAAAGTTTTTCATACAAGTACTTGATTCCAATTATTCAGATTATATGGCAATTATTCAGATTATGTCCGAGTGATCCGATCTCAACAATTTCTTCAGAGATTGCATCATTGCCTTGGACAATAACGCATGCCAAATTTGGTGAAAATGTCTCGTCAAATGAAAAGCTCTCGCCAGGCCCAGTTTTCGAATAGTAAACCGCAAGAGGATAGCGGAGGTCAAGTCTACAAGGAATATGGAATATCTAAGATCTAAACAACGTTGCTAACTTAGATGAATCAATTCAAGAAATCAACAAAATCACACAAGAATATTCTTGACATTTGGTGTCAAGTGTCTTCTCATCAATATTCACGCAGCTCTTACAGTAAACTCTTATACCAACCCTACATCGAAATTATTGGTTGGTTGGTTGAAAGAGGAGACGCAAGAGCGCCAGTCCACAGACGCCCGTAGGCCATCATTGTGCTCTAAGCCATTACTCAAGAGAGCTTCGTTTGGTTCATTTATTTCATCTTTTTCAAGCTAAAAAGTTGTGGCGTAAGATTGAAAGAAATTACTCTAAATCTAAAGTTAATAATATTAACCCTAGATTCCATGTATTATGTGATCTGAACTTTTATCTGAAGTTCAAAGACCTCAAAGCCTTAATAGAGTAGGCGCATTTGTTAACTCAAAATTAGTATTCGTTTCACAGACACCTCGCAAGTGACAGAGAAAAATGTGTAAGAAAAATATTGGTAAACAGTTTGAAGTAGCACAAAACATCAAAATAATAATAAAACAAACAAATATAATTGGATTCTTAGAAAAGAAAATTTAGAGTTTTTCGAAATTTTTTTTGATTATTATTAAGAATGGATTTTAAAAGAGATAATAAGCAGACTACAGATTCGCAAGATGAAACCAAAGATGATGACGAGGACGCCGAATCAAATCGTTCACGGCAAGCTGAGGATGCAACAGTAGCCGAACGCACGAAAGAAGCTGAACTACAGAACGACACTGAAGATGATGAGGATGACGGTTTACATGTGGTCTCCAGCGTTAAGGAATTCAAGCTACCAACGCCGATGTTAACACTCGAGGGTACACACACGACAGCCACCACCACCGAGTCGTTGGCGAGTGTAGCGAGCGCCGCTAGAATGCATAAGCACGTTAATTTCGAAGAGGTCATGGAAGAGCTGGGAATGCCGACGCCGTCGACCAGCAAAGTAGTGGATAATGTGAGAGAATATGTGAAGCAGATTGAAAGTCGTTTAGAGGACTACGGAACTGGCGTGTGTTCATCACCGCGATATACGGCAACACCACAGGCAAGCGCCGCACAAATTATAGACTTACCGAGAGAAACGTTAAAATTGGAGACCATTAAAGGAGCATCAGAGTTGAGCTTCACCAGCAAGCTTAGTGAAGAGTTTGCGGCATTTACAGAAGTCGAACGTATGGCACACGACGAAGTGGAACGTATTGTGGCAGAAAATATTTCGCCTGCGACGAAACGTTTGGCCGACAGACCCGACTTTCAACAGGTGGAGCGCGAAAACCAAGAGATCGCCGAACGTTTTCGACAAATAATGGAGATGTTCGATAGTTTCACCAAAAATTTGGAGAGTCTTGAAATGCCTGGCCTGCAATCGGCTGAAGAAGTTGGCGAAAATGCATTATTGCCATTGCGTAGACGTTTGAGCTTTAAAGGCGCACGCAGCGCGGAGCAAACTGATGCTGATGCGGCTGTTGGCGCTGCATCAGCCGGTAGTGTTTACAATGAATTCTATTTGGAGGTGCACGGCGAAAGCAAAGGCGATGTTAGGAAAGGTAAGTTACATACCAATTTTGTTTCAAAAGTAAAAAAAAAAAATATGTCAATTGCAGTAGCACCAGCAGTGCAAAGCATTGCGCACAAGTCCTGCAACACATCTAGCACAACCGCCTATCCACAAAAAACCGAAGCTGGCTTAGATCCGATGTACCGTGATATGGCCACTACAATCAGCGGTTTGGAGCTACTTGGTGAACCGAGGCCGCCAGCTGTAGATACGTCGCTTTATGCAGCACGCATATTACCCGTGCAAAGTCTTACCACTATTGGCTGTCAGACTTCTACCGACTACTTTGCAGTACAAATGTCACCCATGGAAACTAGCTCATACAGTCGATTACCCTCCTCCATAGCAAGAGATCTCTCACAGACCGAAGATGATATTATCAATGCACTCATAATTGATTCCAGAACCGAACCACCGACTAGCTCTGTTGGCGCAGTCACCACAACCTACAATGACGTCACCGAAACCAGCGAGATCAACAGCATACAGTCAAAGTCTAAATTTCTTGGCTCAACCAGTCAATCAGCGTTGATAAAGATACCTGAACCGCCGACCATAGTCGATCTAACACACGATCCGAATGCGCCACGTGTCACGTCCATAGTTACCGACAGCGCAGGTCAAGCTGGTAGCAATACCGATGCGCCCTGTGAACGCACCTACCACACCATACACATTGAGGCCAACTCTTCGCCCTCCTCGAGTGTTCTGCGTCGTCCGCCGCTATGCACACGCCTTTGGAATGTGATCACCGATTTTTGTGCTGCAGTCTGCCTATGTCTACAGGTTAATAAGGATTGTCTTTTCTGTTTGGGTTTCTTTATTGCATTCGTTGTGAGCGCTTCATTCTTAACGGCTTTTTTCTATCGTACCTTGAGCATTAATCCACACCTAGTACAAGTGCCAGCAGGTGCACAAAGTTTTGCAAGTCGTGCTAATGATTTGCATATCATACAAAATGACAACACTTTGTATGGGCTGTGAGAAAGCGAAAGTTAAGCCACAGCCAGAAGCTTACCATTAAAAAGATTAAATAAGTAAATTAAAGCATGCTTTAAAGCTTTGGCTTGAATGAAAGCTTATTTAACTGAAGCTTTCACTTTTCATAATCATTTTTAACTGCTCTGCTCGTGTAAGCTTTGGTGTGGATTATACGTGACTATTTTATATTCGAGTTTAATCTGTATGTGCTTTGTAAATGTATGTATGTATTGTATGTATAATTTTGATATAAACGTTTGTATACTTGTAGGCATATATATATATGTATCGATTGTAATCTTATAAATACACGAATATAAAATTTGTCATATTGTTGAAGTTAAGTTGATTTGTTTTTATTTGAGTTCTTGTTTAAGCTTCAAAGCTTTTGTTCTTATGCATTACACATATTTTTCAAAAAAGTAATAGCAAATCAGAAATCAAGAAATTTCGCAAGTTTACGAAAGCTTACACGTATGGAGAAGATGTAGAGCTTTTATGAACACATGCATGGAAATAGTTCCCTGAATAAGGTTAATGTTTAGCTATTGAATAGCTTAGGAAAAAAAGAGAAGAAGTTTTGTGATTTCGAATATTAGCAAAAATAAAGAGCTTGTTAATTTTTTAATCTCGAGTTATATTTTGTTACTTGCGAACTTTAAGAAGATTTTTTTATTCTCGAGCTTCTTGAATTTTTGATTTTCGGGTTTTTTTTTCACTCCAAAACTTAAATGGGTGAACATTTTTTTACTTGATAGTTTTTTTTTCTACTTATTATTATTTCAGATAAATTATGCATTGTTGTTTATCTGTAACACTCATTAACATAGCCCCTTATATATTCGATGCCACTACCATTAGTAGCCTATGGCATCTTCAGTGAAGTGCTTTGCAGTTGCCCATAGTTCCAATGAGAGACAACCAATTCACAGCTCTAACTTTAAGTACCTTTCCACCACCTGACAATGCATGTGTGATGGTGTTTGTGTGCCAAAGTGTTTTTGTCTCCACAACAGCACTTCAGTTGTGTTGCAAAGTGAACGTGCCACAGCTAAAAATGAAAAGTTCTCTGAATGGCACGCTTGCTGCCTTTGTATGTTGTGTTGAGCTCAAGTGCTCGAGTTGCTGAAAAATCTGAAATTATTCGCACTTGCAACTCTGTTGCTAGCCAGTCAGCTAGCTAGCTAGCTTATTTTCAAAAACTTTTTATGCACGTAACACCTCTCTTTCACATTTTTCGGGGAAGGCAACTTTTGTTGCTCTACTTTAGTGCGCAGCTTAATGATGCAACAGGATATAGCTCTTCAGTATAATTGGTTGTGTTCATTGTCACTCGGTGTATGCTGTCCAGAGAGATTGTGTCTGAAGTGCTTTCAAGTGGACAAAAATGCATTGTATGATTGAAAGGCAAGAACTAAGTTTTGTTTTTGTTTTTGCATTAAGCAAAAATTATATGTAGCTCCAAAGGCGCTTTATTGTGATTGAAAGTTGGTGAAGAGGTTGAGGCCGCAGATTTTGCTGGTAATTTATTTTTTTTAAGATTTTTATAGACTTGAAGTTTGTTGCAGTTTCGGAGGCATATCTGGGCGACCCAACTTATGGGTAAGGGATTTGATCTTTAGAAAACTTTTTTCTAGCAGTCTTCTCATATTGTAGAAATTTGCTTAAGATTCCTCAAAATATTAAACAAAAATATGAGTTATAGATTTTTATACTCTGAACAGGGAGAATTAAGTTTATCACGAAGTTTGTAACAGCGTAAAAGGTGTGAGACCCTAAAAAATATATATGAATACTTGTATGCGAACTACTTCATCTGTTTTTGAGATATTGCTCTGAATTTTTGCACACGATCTTTTCTCTTCAGGGAGCTATTCAGTTTTCGGAACCGCCAATATCGGACTGCTATAGCATATAGCGGTCATTACAAACTGAACAATAAAAATAAAGTTATTGTATAAAAAACTTTTTTATTCAATAAGATATCTTCAACAAATTTAGCACAGATTATTTTCCATAGAAATGCTACAATCTCCGAACAAATTTTTCAGATCGGACCACCATAGAATATAGCTGCCATACCAACTGATCGTTCCAAATCAAGTTGTTGTGTGGAAAACTTTTTTACTTGACAAAGTATCTTAACGAAATGTGGCATAAATCATTGCCTAAGGCAGCGCTACAATCTGCGTACAAGTTGTTTAGATCAGATCGGTGTGGACTCATATACCTACCAATACAACCTGACCAATTAAATCAAGTTAAAGAATTTTTTTACTTATAAGGTAGCCCAGATTTGTTTGTTTGCCAAAGCATAGGTTTACTATGTACGTAAATCTGCTTAACACACTGAGATACCTCTCATAACCTTCTAACTAGCCATACATACTACTATATTCATATTTGAAATAGAGTCAGTTTCTTTAGGTTGCCAAAAAAGTGCTGCCCATTGATTCTCATTTATTGCTATTACCTGCTTCCGTGCTTCGAAAATATCGATTCCATTAGTTTTGTATCATTCCGTTAAATTATGCATTTTAGCTGGTTTTCCGACAATCGAAAAGCGTTTGCATTCATTTTTGTTCATCATACGCCCCAACGCACAGCGCCAATCAGCTTTTTTATGCAACTGCAGTAGTGTTTAGCAATAGTCAGCGCACACGCGCATATATTTCTATGCATTTTGCGTGTGTATATGTATGTGTATGTGTGTGTGACAATTGCATTTCAAATTCCAATTCATTTGCTTTTCCCATTTCCTTTTCACATAGTTTTGCTTGGTAGCGTTCGCTTATTCAATGCATTTACTGTAGTAATTTTGTGCTGCTGCTTTGTTATTGTTGTTGCATTGTAATTTCAAAATCATGTTTGCATTGCAAATAACTGCACAAACCGTTTGCATTAGTTAGCAATTTTCTAATTCACTTCTAAATGCATGCTAAATTTTTATTTTCTGCAAAATTTTATTCAGAGTTGCAATATCTGGACATTTTCGAAAGCATATGTGTGCGTGCATAGTGGTTATATAGGTTGTTTAGCATCTAAATGTTAGCATACTGCTTTGCTAAAATGATTGCTTGCTATCGCTTTGTTTACCATTATCACACACAAATACTTTTTACACTAAAATTGTATTGAAATATCTACAAGTAGCGTTATTTCTCTGAAAAAAAATCATTGTATATACTGTTTGGTAGCGCTAGAGCTCCCAAAATGTGATTTTAACAGTTTTTTTTAGAAATTTTGCATTGAAAGCTTACTTGCTTTTCTTTAACTGTTCTACAGCGACTTTAATTTACACTCATCTGCAATCACTAGCCATTATCTGCCTAGGCACACGCCCACATATTTAGGTGAACAAGCAAAGAATCCACCACGCTCCAACTCTCATCAATAGACTATAAATTGCTGCACTAATCACAGCCCCAGGTGCCATTAGCAATAACTTCTCACCTATACAAAAAGTCCTAAGTAATGCAAAAAGTAGAAATCCACTAAAATATAGCATACTTATAGGCGTATTTGCTGCAGCATTAAGCGTTGATAAATGACCACGTCGAGGTAAATAAATATTGAGCTTAGACTGTTGGTGTTAGGCGAAAAAATACTGGAGTATGAGGCTTAGCTGCTGTTTATGCAGCGAAAGCTCGAAATTTATGTGATATGTGAAAGCGCCAAAAAGTATGCGATGTAAAATAGTATACTACTAAATTGCGTATACATGTCTCACCGGTAATGCTTTCTAAATTAAAGGTTTCTTGTTTCATATAGTAGGATATATTGAAACCTCACCCGGTGTGGTGTATACTCATTTTTTTCTCCTTTAAAGCGCTGTCTCCAGTTCTTAAATAGCGCACTTCTCATTTTTCCTGATTTCCTTTCAAAAGACTCCCTTCTAAAGCTTACTAACAGCGTGTGCTGTTTGAGAAAAAACACAGCAGTGTATCTTTTGTAAAATATGTAGATAATATAAATTTTATTTTCTATTCCATTCACTTTGAATTCAATTGAATAGAATTGAATTACATTTTACTTTGATTGCCGTTTGGCAAAATACATATGTATGTATGTATTTTTGTATGCTGCAAAAAAAGGGTGGCAGCATGTCTCAGCTGTGGCTGCAAAAAAGCTTCAATTTATTTTAATTTTCTAAGTGAAATAAGAACAGCTTTACACATATAGAGTAAAAAGATGGAAATGATATTAAAGTGATGTTGCGTAATAAAATTGTGTTTGTGTCGTTGAATGCATTTCTTAACTAACCAAAAGAATATATTGATTTAGAATTTAAATTGAAAACCCAGAAAACTTATTAATATGCCTTAAATATTAATCAGTTTCTTTACGTTAAGATGAGTAAAGTAAAATTTAGTTACGTTACATTAAGTTTAATTCAATAAAATTAAGTAATTGTATTAAGTTTTTATACGTAAAGTAAAGTTTAGTACAGTACTCTTCAGCAGTTTTAAGTTAAGTTACATTAAGTCGTGTTACGTTATGTTAGGTTAAGCCGTGTTAAGTTAAGTTAAGTACAATAGAATTACCTTATGTTATTTACTTAACTACATAAACGTCTTACACATATACGCTTTAAACTCAGTAGTTTTAATTTATTAAACTTCTCTGTTACTTTTTAGTTTTTATCTTTACTTCGGCTTTACGATTCTTTACAATCTATATTTGTTAATTTTTGTTCTTTATTCCAGAATTTTACTGTTTTCTTTCTCTTTCTGTTCTTCGTAGTCATAACAAATGTGTATGCTATTGAGGTAATGCTTTAAGTATTGTATTTATTTGGATTTTAAATAAAGGATGATTTTAAGTATCAAAGAGTTTACTAAATAAACTATGTTTATTGTATTCCATCCAGTTTAACTGTGAATTGCATTGAAAATTCAAGCTACACGCATTTGCCATCCAATTTAGAAGAAAGCAATTATTTTAAGAAAATTGGCTATTTCAAAATAGAAAATCAGTTCATGAAAGACTAATATATTTGCACTTAATAATAGTATGTAATATTATATGAAAATTTTACAAAAACTATTTGTTTATAAATTGTAAATGTAAAAATGTTTGCTGTACTTGTGCGTTTTTTTTTAATTTAATAAAAGTTGAAATATCAAACGAAAATTCCAATTTGTAGTTTCACCAATTTTTAGTTTTAGCAACTTCTGCTTCTGTAGGCTAGCACATAGTCATAATTAATATCAAAAATTTCCAACAAAAATTCTGGGCTGTTAGAAATCAACAAAAACCTTTATTTGCAGGTCTGAATAGGTAGAAATATTAAGAGTACGCTTTTAAGCTCCTTTGTCATAGCTGAGGCTTATGAGCTTGCTTCGCCAATTTTACGCTTTTATTAAATATATAAATATGTAATGTTGCCATGCATGTTGTCTAGAAAAAAAAACTATTAAAAAAAAGTAGTTTTTCAAATTAAAAAAATAACTTAGTCTTTAAATAATGACTTTCGATGGCTCTGACTTTTCTTCTATCAATTTATTTTTAATTTTTTTTTTAATTTTTATGAATATCTATTTATTTAATGTAGTCTTATATTAAATTAAATTTTCGTCTGTAATTTTGGCTGACTAATTCAAATAGTTTAGCTATTATTTGTTCTATATTTTGCAGCTACGATATCAGAGGGGCGAAAACCTAAGGCCGTATTATAAATTACTTAATACATTTTCCAAACGAACTGTTGATCCGGAAAAATTAAAAAAAAAATTTTCGTAAATGTAATAATAAAAAAAATAAACAAAAATATTGCATAATGGAATATTTGAGGAGTGGTGACTCAAACAAACCACTGGTATAAGTCGCAAAAAACTGGTAAAAAATAGTATATTGCTACGATGAATTCAAGATTGGCCAGGAAACGGTTAAACCTAACTAATTACTTACAAGTATTTTTTTATTTACCATTACTTGGATGCTAACGAATTCGGCAAATAACTAGTATAAATAAAGCATAAGGTATAAATATAAGAGACTCATAAATATGTATATAAAAAATGGTTTGAATTTAAGAAACCGATATAAATAAAAGAAAGCGGTGAATAAAATAAATGTGATTATACCAGTTTTTTATATTTATACCAGTATATTTAATTTATGCCAGTTACATGTATAAATTTGGAAAATTATATAAATATAGTAAACTGATATAAATATGAGAGACTTGTGTATATATAATAAACTGGTATAAATAGAAGAGATTGGAATACATATAATAAACTATACAATTTAAATCAGTTTCATGTTTAAATTAAAGTAAAATATATAAATACATGTAGTAAACTGGTAAAAATATAAGAGACTGGTATATATAACATAAACTAGTATAAATATAAGAGACTGGTAAAAATATGATAAACTACTATAAATATAAGATACTGATATAAATATCATAAACTGGTATAAATATAAGAGACTGGTATAACAATGGATGAAAAAAATTTCGAATTCAATTCTCTGAGTATTAAAAAACAATATTTTCTTCCTAAAAAAGTTAGCGTCACATTAACCGACCTTGTGGTATATATTACCGTTACTTACACCAAAACTCAGTATTTTTGCTTTTAGCACAAACACTAACTTTTCCAATAATAATAACCATAATAAACCATACTGCTGCACGGTGATTTTTTTGCAATTAATCATAGTTTTACTTCCCTCTCCCTTTCCCACCTTAAAGCAGAATGCACAGTATCTGAAATCGCATTGCGAATGCAACCGAGCATTACAATTACCCACTAACCGAATTGTAATGATGATGATGATGACACAATTACCGGCTCTAAAAATTATTACTTAATGCATTTTTATACTCTTAGTTGCATCTTACAATTAACAACCATACCGCATTCCACCTGCAGTACAAGTTGCACACACATATACATATGCACATATATGCACATAAACACATGTCTATTGGATGTAAGCAGTGCAACAAATTTGGAATGTAAGCGATGAACGAATATTGGGGGCTTGCAAGTAATGCACCAGTGCAACAATAAACATACGTACATATACACATACACACACACCTACAAACCAGGTGCACATAAACATGAAAAAGCGTGCAGCGGCCCCTTCTAGCTGTCAGCAGCTAATATATATTTTTTAGTTGCTTGGTTGATGTCATAACAGATTTTCGTGCCACATTATTTAATTGTTTGTTGTTGTTGCTTTTGGTATTTGCTCATTTTTAGTTGCTTTAAAGATGCGATTTTCTCTGTTGACAACTTCGGCAGATAGGCATCGTCTATATGCTGTTGTTGTTATTGTATGCCATGAATGCCGTGAATGCATTGAATTGCATGACTGTCACGCAGCACCAATGACAACAGCGTCTCGAATAATTGTAAATAATTGTACTTAATTTTAAAATTAGTCTCAGTTCAGCTATTATGTGTTTACCTTAATACATAAACTATGTCATAAAATTAGGTTGATAATGAGGGTAATATGCTTTGAAAGGCTTAATACAACTTTGCCTGATGAGCTTTGGTTCTCGTCTGGAATGGAAATCAGTGCCTTCAGCGCATTTTGTTTTTCGATTTCGGCTCATTGTTGGAGCTCCATTCGCTGGATTATTGAATAGTTTCGACATCATATTGATAAAATCAGTTCCCCTCACCAGTAATGATGCTTTTTATGCATGTTGGGGTTTTATCTATATTGTCTACCTCTACTCGTTGTCGTTTTGGTAAAAAATTCAGGGGTTTTGCTACGAGTCTAGCATCTAGCACACAAAAAATTAACCAAAATGTGTTGAGTCGATTTATAAGATATGGTGAGCCTCTCTGCTAGCTCTCTGTTATTAACACGATGACTTTCAAGCACTGTTTCTTTAACTTTTTACATAGGTGGATGAATGACTTGTATAAGGCAAATTTTCGATGACCTCACGACCTTCACTGAATAATGAAATATTTTTGTTCTTGATAAAGAAATACACAACATTTGATTTGAATTCATTGTTTAATTTTATTTTCAATTTAAAAATTGGCAAAAGAAATAAAATTGTGAATATTAGATTTGCGCACAAAGTTCACCGAATTCCGTGTCAAAGAGTGCAAGGTTCCTACTCACCAAACCTCTATATCCCAGGCTAAAGTGCTCTTAATAATTTCAGTTGTGCTCTCCGTCCTCTACTATCTATATTGAGCGAATTGCGACAGTATCCCTCCTCCCTCCCATCTCGTCTGTACTTATGCACCTATTCGTAGATTTTAAGGAAATGTTTTTTCTTCGACCACCTTCCGTCTTCAAGCTTAGAGTCCAATAGAGTGATTCAGGACTAAAACCATCGCAAAATTTTCATTCCGGTAGTGTAATAACTAATAGAGAGAACATATTTGTCGTAACGAAATACCTCAGCGCGTCACCAGTAATGCCTTTTATTCTCTCTTTTTTATAATTCTCATTTTCAGCTACTGAAGTGATCACAATATTACGAAAAATTTTCAAGTTGCACTTTCACATACCGACTTTAGTCTAGATACTTACGCAATACGCTCAATTTGATAACGCAATTTGTTACGCTTGAGACATATGCTGAGGCATGTCCCGCTTTCTTCACCGATTTTCTTCGAAACTTTCGCTTGGCAATTTGGAAATTTTTCACGACCTTCGTAGTTTTTCTCGATTTCTCTCACATCAAATATATTAATAAGATTTATAAACATGTGCAATTTATGCGAGTTTCGGCGCACCGACATTCGTACACATAATGGGTAAATAGTTATCTGACAGTGGCGTTGACATGCGTCAAATACAGTTACGCAAAAACTGCGAACTAAAATATATTACCATAAAGTTTGGCAACACGCATGCTTGCATGCATAACCGGGCTAATATTAGCGTAGCTTTATATATAATAGGTATACATACATATTAGGGGTATGTCATTTTTTTTGTAATTTATTTTTAGTAAAAGAATAGAAAAATATTTAGAAAATACAAATTAAGTTATTTATAACGAAAAATATTTTAGTTTTATTGTTAGCAGTTGCAAGTGAAAGCTGCAGTCAGTAAATAATTTTTAAAGTGTAACAATTATATCATTACAATTTGTTCCTAAACATGACGTCACACAGTTTAAAAAATTCTATGTAAGAAAAGAATAGAGATCAGTCAGTGCAGTAGAGTTTGAAAATGGTAAAAATTGAAAGACATTCATAATGGGTTCGAATCGATTGGAATAAAAGATAAAATATCAAAAATTTAAGAAAAATAATTTACAGGCGATATGAGTTCGCGAAGAGGATGCGGAGTGGCGTGGTTGAATTTTTTAGTGTTGAAAATGGTTTAACTCAATTTCCGGCAAAACTACGACTCCTATTGAAAAAAGTTGTGCAACAAAATTGTAGATAATAAAGATATTTAAAACTTTTGTAACAACAACTCTTTAAAATAACCTCAAAATTTATGTGAAAAATTAGTATAAACAAATTTTTGCGTATTTATTTTTATCGTGTACAAAAATTTGTCTTCTTCATTTAAGAAAAAATATTTTAATTATTCTCAAGCTATCTTTTTTCAAAAATTTGTTTATTGCGCGCAAAAATGTATTTCCTGGATATAGTCACACCCCTAATAATAGTCATACTATTAGCAAACGAAAACTTACTGCAATTACAAATATTTAGTACTCAAGATGTTGATTATTCCAGTCGAATTGTGACAGCGCGCAATTTCACGCTTCGCATGCGCTTTGCCTTTTCTTTTTCCAAATGCTGGTATGGGTGAAATTAGTCGCACACTAATGTAGAGTGAAAATATGTATTTTTTATAGAGTTTTGGATATATGGCAAAATTTATACAAAAAAAATATTCTCAAGTGAAAATCATAAGTAATTATTTAGGTTTGGTATTTTTTTATTTCTTATGTTAGTGGTTAGTAGCCCTGCAAACAAACATAGATTTTAAAAGCTTTAAAATTTTTCGACATTTTTGCTTCGTTTTAATTTTTTAAATCTTGAAAAGTCTGTGGGAAATTTTAAATACTTAACCTTAAGTCACTTCACTTACATTTATACCTTTCCAATTATATTTAATGGCATGCGCGTAAGAAATATACATATATCAATATCAATCGGCTGCAATTTTATGTCTGCGATGCTTCTTCTTTTATTTCTTGTCACTAATAAAATTACAAGCTGCTGCTTTTGAAATACTTTTTTTTCCTTTTGAAAGTAAGCCAAGCAAAACGGCTGATTCTGTTGTCAAAAATACGTTGTATGTATATACATATATAGGTATATATAGGTATATATATCTATAAATCATAAATTTGTACGCATATGTTACATACTTGTGTGCCATGACGTATAATGAAATTATGACAAACACAATGCTCGCCGTTGACAGTTGGCTGACTTGCACTTAAAGTTGAAATTTAAAACAAAAAAAATTTTGTTTGTTCATACCATATATAACACACCAGCGCACAAATAATAAAAAAAAATTATTCGCACAAAAAGCTGTGACACCCATTAGGCGAATAAACCGAAAATATGTTCAATAAAATTGACAGTTGCTGAATTATCACATATGTGACATGTTTTTATGATATATTGCATATGCGTGGGTCTATATATATACATATATCTATTTCTACTTAAAGGTACATAATATAAACATAAATATATTATTTCGACTAAATCGCGAGACATACTTATATCGCAGTCTATTGGGTATGTGGAAAATTCAGCTAAAGGCAAATGTATAGCAATTATCTTTCCTCTTTGAAGGTCATTAAAAAGTTTAATAGCCAGAGATGACGAGAGCGGATTCAAAACAAAAGGAAGACCTAAGCAGTTAGGAAAGACTCTTTTTAAAAAAGATTGAAAAGACTCTGATAGTAATCAACTCGCATAGAGATTAGTAACTTAAGAAAATAATATGATTTTACTCTTTTTCCATTGGCAGAGCGAAGAGTATGAAATCTTTGTAGTCTCAGCACAATGTATAGCTTATTAAATTTTAAATAAGCAAAGTAATACCTAGTTTTTGAAAACACACCACAATAAGCATTATAATTATAAGGCTTACTTTTAGAGCACAAAACGTTTAAAAAACTTACAAATGGTTGCCACATGTTTTTGTGCCATTAAAAACTTGTTGTAAAATGAAAATTATATGAACCGTAGCTACATGAACATTCAAGTATAAGTTTTATCACAAATTTTGGGTTGATAGAGTTGCCACGTGACTTCAAACAAAATATATTTGTGATATGAAGAAGTAAACTTTGCATTTAGCGTAGTTATAAAACTTTAAATCTTTCTTCTTTAAATAAGTATGAAATGTGACAGCGTTGCCAACTAGATAACATTTTTATTTAATATATTATGCATATAAACATTTTCTAAAAACATAAAATGATTTTAAACTAAATGCTCTTTATTTACTAAAATATGATTTTACGATGTTGCCACATTATTTGAAGTATACAAATTAAATACTTCTGTGATGTCTAATGATTAAAAGGCATTTTTTTATTAATTTTTTATCAAAGC